GAAATTAATATCATAATAGGAAGCCTTGTTAATTAAATTTTGTGGTCCCTACTGTGCCTAAATAATAGAAAATAGTGGAAACTGTTACTTAGTGGGAAAGAAAATGTGGAAACCGTCCCTTAGTGGGAGAAGGAAACCTAACAGGTTTTGAAAACGGTTTTGACCTAAAAAACGCAGCTATATATATGGATATAAGGGCTGGACGTTTTTTAGATGATTCTGACTGCGGTTTCTACTAGAATTTTGCCCACCCAAAATTCTCTATTTTCGGTTATTGTTTGGGTAACACAGTAGAAGACTGTGGAAATCTGCTAGTGTGTTTTCAACTGAGGAACTGGAGAACGACCTAGATTTGTTGTGTTTACGCTTCAAGAGGTAATCCTAAAATCTCCATACGTGCTAGTTGTTTAGATTACACGTGAATAAGATTCTGTTATTGCTTCCGCTGTGGTATATATTCCAACAATTACGACTAATACGGCTTTAATCTGTATAACGTAAAAAGATTTTTTTACGTTATTGGTGTAATTTAATTTATAATGCTATTTCTACCAAGTTGATAGTGAATATTGCATCTTGTAGAAGTTTGCCTATATTACCTTATAAGCCGTCTGATAATGCAAATATTTTTTATTCTATCAGTACATAAAACTTGAAACTTTAGCACTATTTCTTCATGTGATGGGGTTGCAGGAAGGGAGCTTACGGAATATATGGGACCTCAGCCACCAACCGGAATACATCGATACGTGTTTACTTTGTTTAGGCAGACGGAGGCGGAGCAAGTGCCCCATAAACCACCAGCAGGGCGTGCTAATTTCAACACTCGCAAGTTTGCAAGCGACAATGGACTCGGTCTTCCTGTGGCTGCCCTCTACTTTAATTCACAAAAGGAACATAATGCTGCAAACAAGAAACGTTAGCTAGCTACGTTTCTACACTATGTATTTATCATGTTGCTATAGGTTACATATGATCATAAATTACCCTATATATGTGTGTGTGTGTGAAGATATAGCAATGTAATCTTGTTAGCGAAGTACTCTTTCTTGTATCTATACCGATCGAGTCATGTATAGCTGTGTTTATGTACGTACAATTATATCTATAGGAATACATGTCATGTTTTATTATGACTTGTTTCTCTCTTGACTCATGATTTTAACGTAACTGTTTTTTATACAATGCAAAGAAACTAGTGTTTAAATTTGTATAAAAAGAACTTGGGTGAGCAGTCACAAGAAGTAGCTATTGAATTTATAAATTGATCAATGAATGTTGTTGCGGACAAACCAATATTGTTAAGAGAGCATAAATTGTAGCAATTAAATTATGGACATCTACAGAAGCATCAAAAGGACCCTAACGAAGCATGTACAATGAATATTGAATATACGATTTCAAGGCATTTTATGTGTTCAATCTGCCACTCGCAAGATCTTTGATTTTCATCTTCAGATATATACATAACCAATTGTTGACGAGCGACAAGGATCTAATTAACCTAATCAATGTCCGCTCATCCTTTCTTTGTCGAAAAATGTACTAGATCCTATTCCCTGGCAGTATGTAGCATGAACCTGCAACATCTATGAGAGAGCGTCAATCAGTTTTGAAAAATATGAAGTTGCATCCTTGCTATCTTATTAAAAAAACAATTATCTTTGTACAGTCTTCTACCAAGTCCTAAACTTACTATTGCATAAGTAGACAGACTGCATGTCTATCATCTCTCAAGAGGACTGCTTAGCATGCACGAGGTCGCGAATCTCTGCAATTGCATTACTGGTCCCATAAACAGCCATTTTCTTCACCTGCTAGACACATTATAAGAGGTATATTAATCCAATCCTCAGAGGCAAACCCAGAATTTAGAAGTGGCAGAGGCACCACTATGTTTAATATTGTGATGACTCATGCCAGTTACTAGCTACAAAGTTTGGCGTATCACTCTCTTATAACTTGATGATTTTAAAAGGTCCTAAATTTCGATTGTTAAACGCTGTTGGAATAAAAGTTTTATACATAAGTTACACTTAGTTGAACGACGACATGAGATTTTGATGATAAGAAATAAATATAGGTAATAATATAAATCAAAGAAGTGACTTATTTTTTGCAAAGTGCAAATTAAAACATGTGACAGGAAAAAAAAAGCACATCATGTGAAGTGGTTAAAGAAATAGCGAAATGGGAAAATCAAATTCAGAAAAGAACAATTAACAGTGCATCATATGTCAAAACTCATATTAGCGGGAGAGATATGTCTGGGGCTTTTTGAGGGAGGGGTCTAATAAAAAGAAAATGAGTTTTGGAGGGGCAAACTAAAGAAAAGAGCCAAAAAAGGAAAAGGAGCAGAAACTACGGGGAAAAAAGCCAAAAAAAAAAGATATATAATCACTCAACTAAAAGCAAAAATAATAATTCATTGCTGGAGCTGGGAATAGAACCCCAAGTCATCCAGCACTAAGCTACAAACGCGACCAGTGCCCCCAAAGCGTCGCTTAAGTATGAGGGTGCCTAGTTAAATATATATTCATTTCTTATCGTATACCGCCTATACATTCATATATATATAGAGAGAGAATTTTTTGTGAGCTTAACGGATGCCCGTGACCCCCTTACCTTCCGTGTAGGTCCGCCTCCGCAGGCAATCATCATGGATTGTACCATACACGAAAATGACATAAGGTTTTCAAACATGAGATCTACTTTGGACTAGTGAGCTGGCATATGTAAAAAAACCTGGATGTAGGAGCATTTTTCTTTTGAATTGTAAAGCTAGATCTAGGAACAGAATTACAAACATTTACCTCAAACAACATGCTTTTTGCTACTAAACATGAAAGCTAACAGAAGTCTTAGACAAGCATAACGTCAAACAATACCATGTTCGGGTTTCTACATTATAGCAGTTTGAACCTGAGTTTTTAGCAACTAAAACAAAGAGTGTTGTGAAACTTGCCTCCAGCACTTTTCCCTTGGCTTTGTGGTGCTCAGGAAGTAGACGAATTTCATCAATTATGTGGATACATTCAGCAACATTTTCAGGCGAGATGAAGTCCAGAACAACATTGATGCATGACTGTAGACAGTGAATAGAATCTTATGTCAGTTATAATGCGCTAAAGCCTAAAAGAAACAAAGCGCCCAGATACTGACAAATATACATATGCGACTAGATTCAGTTGAGCTGGTAATATGCACACATGCAATTAATGTTAGGCTGGTCTAAGGCTCTTCTAGACAAAGAAGAGCTAATTGTAACTATGACACAGCTCACAGCATGTTTTAATCAGAACATGGAAAAGTAAAATTGTTGCAAAGTTGGATATGGTGAGAATTGATTTAAAGTTGTCGCCGAACATACTTTCTGATTTCTTTTTCTCTCTGGATAAGTAATTTGCAATGAGATGTTCACAAATAGTAATATACAATTTGTAATCATGGTCTTACGTGCCAGTAACTTCAACTAACAGTTACCATCAATCACTGCCGTCAATGAAGAGAAGCTTAGAAAAGAGCCAAGGCTCGTTTGCTCTTAAGTGTAAACGCAAAACAAAGCATGGGCTTGAGTGAAGAAAGTCGCAAAGGAAGAAATATGCTTGTAATGCAAGAGAAAATAATATACGGATTACGGTTTACAAACTCGTTTTTTATAAAATAGGGCTTGGGTTAATTTTAAACACAGAAGCGGACGCTTCTTCTCGCTTCACCGCTTCTCGCTTTTTACAGAGAAGCGGTCGCTTTTTCTTACCAGAGTAGCTTCAAAGACCTGAAGCGCTACCCTTCACGCCTCGCTTAAAGCGATGAAGCGAGCGCTTTTTTAATCACTGATATGGATAACAGAATTGAAAATTTACAATAAAGTGAAATATATAGTAAAAATAACGTAAATCAAGTTCAAAACGATAATTTATGATTCAGATGCAAAGATGCATTTTAAATTTTAGGTTTAGGTACGCTGACTTAATTTCTTATATTGGATTTCTAATTTCCTATTCCTAATCGTTCGATCAAAAGTTTCCTATTCCTAATCGTGAAAATTGATATATCAATTTGCCAACTATATAAGTATATATATTGTTTAGTGTCGTCCTATTCAAGACAGAGCCCATGGGTAAAGAGGCGCACAACATAGCGCCTTGGTGTCTGCACTGACGTGCCACCAAAGCAAGGCAAAGCGCCCAGCCTGCTTTGCACCTAGTTTCAGGGCCTAAGCGTTCCTCATCCGATCCTTCAAAAACACTGCCACCAATAAGCTTCTGTTAATAATTTTGCAAATTAAAGAGAAATCTACTTCGTCATAAAGAAGTTACAAAGCGGAAGAGTCACCTTAAACGAACTGTCATTTGAATATGGTGGGATCTATTCAATTGATCCAGATAGTCTTTGCTTATAATTATCTCCAAGTCTGACATTTCCTATGTATTTATTTATCCGTGACTGACCAGAAAAATTCTGAAGAAGATATAGGAACATACTGTCCTTGGTCAATGGATTCCTCTTTCTGTTTTCTAACTACTTCATGGGGTTAAAACAAGAATTTGCAGTTCTTAATTCTATCTTCAGACTATCCAATATAGTAAACTTCTACATGAGCAGTGAGGAAATCGTGTTTGTGGGAAGATGTATGAAGGTCATCACTATAAAGGATACCTTAAGTTGTTTGACTTGATATGGACATCCAGCAGGGATGAGAATCGCTTCTCCAAGATGTTGTTCAAAAGTCCAAGGTTGAACATCTAAAAAGTTATAACATTAAGAATTAGTACTAATTTAATCCAAACGATAAAAGATAAAATAAGACAAAGCAAATATACCAAATTCCTCCTT